GAGTCTTGAAGTCGTCGTGTTTTACACACTACATGACTGATCAGTGATCGGGGGTCATAGACTACAAGATCTTTAAACAGGAGGAATCGCTGATGAGCCGTTTTGCCTAACCCTGTGTCTTGCACTCTCTGGCTGTAGCGCTCTGGCTGTAGCCGCGCTCATTGCCAGTCGCTCTCATTGGCTGTCCTACAGGATTTGGTGTTGCTGATAGGTCCGGATATTTAGGATGTTAGATACTTGATGGGCGTCTGCGATGCATCGGCAACTCTGTCGGGTCACATCGGAACACAAAGTGATGAAGCACAGATTGGAGGCAAATCGGTGCTCAATCTGAGGCTTTTGTCGGCAATCTCCAAAAACAGTAATCAAGCAAAATATCAGGTCTAAAATCGTGCAGTGTGAACTTAGCATGACCCTAACTGTCCAGTGAACTGGAGCTCCAGGTGACCATAAGATGGTGGCCAGCAGAAAGGAAGCACTGACACACCCCCCCCCAGGTCCCCCCTGCAGCGACGCTCCATTTCACCGCTGCTTATGCCCCAGTATGGACTGATGTGTGCTGCATTGTTCCGGCGAAGTATAAAGATCATCTTAGTGTGCAAAGTGCTTTCTGGGAGTTTGCCAGTCGAGTTATTTGCCTTTTTTATGATTTATTTTACCCTGTTCATCTAAAAAAAAAAAAAAAATTCACAGGGATTCAGTATCTTAGGGTGTGGGAATTTTAGGCTGAGATGAAGACTGGACTCCTTTTTTTACTGTGCCTCTTTGGAGAATCCTTGGGAATCGCTGGTTTGACTGTGTCAAATGAGCGGTTGCTAGAGGAGTCCTGAGTCCCAAATGAGGCACATTACCTGCAATATGAGGGAGCGTCAGTTACGGCACCAAGGCCATGTGGCGCGTTGAGGGTGATCCGGCTCGCAGGATCCTCATTGCTGAGGCTGAGGGGACGCCCACGTAACACCTGGCTGCGGCAGATGGATGGCCACTTCCGGAGGGTGGGACTGGACCGTGTATCTGCCTGGGGGGTCGCTGGCCGGGATCCCGAGGAGTTTCGCCGTGTGGTGGGTGCGGCAACGCGCTGCATCAGCCTCATGCTCCCCAACCTGACCTGAATTTTAGGCAGCAGGTTAACCTGGAGGATGCTGAAGCTTTAGCTGCCTGCTGCTGGAAGGAGAGACCTTCCTGATTCACGCTGACATGTTTGAGAACCGCTGTCTTCTGGCAGGACCTGCTCCTGACCTGGGTCTTGCATCAGGCTTGGCCTTAAATCTAGGGAATGGGACACTGGGACTGTCCTACGGAGATGAACAGGATATGGCTTATAGGAGGTGCCATGTGACTCAGTTAGGTTGCTGTGCTTGTATTCAGAAGGTTGCTGGTTCAAAGCCTAGAGTCAGTAGAATGATGTTGCCATTGGGCCTCTGTGCAAGGTGGACTCTGCTTTCTCATTTTAAAAAAGTCACTTTGGATAAAAGTCTATGTCAAATTAAAAGGTAACACTTTATATTTATGAGAAATATGCTTTTTTGCATGTCCTTACTCACTACTGAAGGTTCGAGAGTGGCATGAGGCTCTGAATCCACCGGGGTTCCACTGATGGATGGTCTGTCCAGATGGTATCCCGCAGACACACACATTTCATGGTGTAACCCCCCCCCATCACCTCCAACTCCACCATCTCTCTGCCTGGAAAAGCCGACCTCAGTTCATCTGAACGTCACCCCAGACAGGTCTGCAGCCCCTTGCCCCTGAGCTGCTGCTTTATCTCCTCATCTGACGCCTATGGTGGGGGCTGAGCTGTCTGTATTTTTTTTCTTTTTTTCTTTCTTTTTAAACCCCCGCCCCAGGTGTTGCTCTGCCCGTCTTTCCGCAGGTCTTCCAGTCCCGTCAGCTGCGTGGTGGGCCACCGACGGTTGCCGTGGGGATTCCTGGGTGACGCCCACACGCAGCCCCAGTGGCTGCTCAAGTGGTCCATCAGCAGTCTGCCTGATTGGTCGATTGGCTCCTCTGCAGGCCTGCCTGCTTATGAGACCTGCAGTGAAGATTCCTGGTGGTATGAATATGTGCACGATTGCACTACTGCTTCTTCTGTGGCTATATCTCTGTGGCTGACCTGCAGTTTTGGTTGGTTCTGACAGGCCAATCGAATACAGCCGTCTGGTCCCCCACCCGCCCCTGCTTCCAATCCCCATGGCTTTACCGCCGGATTGCCCCAGGTCTGAACAGTAGCGTCAGGCCCGCCGGAACATTCCAGTATCCTCGGAGGATTGCTCTCCCGCGACGTGACATCATTGTCCGCACCCACCGCAAAATCCACATCATGGTTACTGCACACGCCACACACAAAGCCTGTCCTGTGGGTTCATTCACCATGCACTTAATACGGCTGAACCCCCCAGTTCTGTAATGTGCTGGTACTCTCATAACGTGCTACCATGCTGACTGAACCCCAGGCTTTTGCCTTCAAAAAGTTGACTCTGGTGTCATACGTATATAAAAAATGCAGAACGACAAAACATTTAAAATGCTTGCTGAATTAATCTGTGTTGGAATAAAAACCCAGGAGGCATCCATTCCTCGCAGTGGTGCTCACTTACCTGACCTGGCCGTCAAAGGATTTTAGGCCGTCTGTGTTCATTTCCGGGAGAACTCTTCCAAGAATATATACCTCAACGGAAAAATGGCATGCAGCAGTAGCGTCCAGATCCCACGTTCCACTGACGGTGTTTAATCTACAGGACGTAATGACGCAAGAAATCTTTTCAATCTACTGCACTCCACTGCTGACTGAATCTGCTTGCTTAATAGGAGGGTGGCCGAGACCACTTTTCTGCCTTCCAGTGTAACGTGACGTTTCTTCGTTTTTTCATGGTTTGGCCATGGTTTAGACCAGCTGTTTCCTCGGCGTGCCCCGTAATCGTGTCTGTTCTCTTTCCGCATTAGTTAATCCCTTAACTGGGGCCGCTTGGGTCAGGCTTTCGGTGCAGCTGAGCGTGACGATGGGATGGATGTATGTTCGGACTCCAATGGTGCATCCGCTCCTGAAAGTGTATGGATTTTATTCTGCTATAATAAATGTGCTCGTGCCCTAAATATAAAGATTTTATTAAGTAAATGAAAATGGACGTTGTGGGGCGTGGAATTCTAATGTTATTCATCTCGTATTTTTATGTAAATAAAATATTAATATTAAAAATGAGGGCTTAAAGGGTAATATCTGTCTTTAATTTCACACTTATAATTAACGGGACGCTGCAGTTCACTAGTTTTGTTTCAGGTAATTCACACACGTCCGGACGCCCAGCGGAACTTGTTTTGTCCGGTCAAACTTTTTCTCCCGTCCGCAGCCTTTCGGGAAAGAGGGAGGTAGTCACCCTGCAGGAAGTGAGTCATGTCCATCACAGGCCAGCTATCTGGCAACCCCTGGATGCTGTGTGTTAGGGGTATAATCCTCATTTAAAATTAAGATTATGCGAAGCAAATTACTCATATGGCTGCTGAAAAAATGGCACATATGGAGTTAAATCGTTTGGGAGGAAAACAGTCTGAACAAGTATAGTCTTGTGGCAGGAATATTTCCTGCCACAGTCTTTAAAATGTGGATCTCGGGAAAACGATAAAGCTCATTCTGAAAAACCGAGTTGGTGTGTCCGGGAAAATGTCGCGATTGTGTCTTAAAAGGGCAACGTCGCTTCAGCAGAGACTGGCGCGCTGCTTAATATTAGCTAGCAGTTTGTGTTCAGTGCTTTTCCGCCCCCGTCAATCTTTATATTTATCCAAACCGCTGGAAGCTTAATTTCATGTATTTAAGTGAGCGAATATACCCGGGAACTGGGTTTAAGTCGACTGTTCTGGCCGTAAAGAGATGCCTCGGTGTTGGAGATGCTGAGGAGCGCTAACAGCGACTCGGCGCTCCTTTGTAAGGGAACCAGAGAAGCGTTCAACTGTGCTCTTTAACCCAGGCCTCTCGCGGTAAAGGGGCCAGTGAGGGCCAGCCTCCCTGCCTTATCTGCCTGGGAATACTGGCAGTTGCCCGGATCCTAATTACAATTCTGATGGGGCGAACAGGAGCGGGCTGCGCTCGCAGGGGGACGGGAGAATGCTTGGGAATGTGCGGCTGGCTGGGGGTGTTGGGCTGGGTTAGGGATCATGAGAAGCTGATTTCAGGGTTTATTTACTTCGCTTTATTTGGGTTGAGTTTAAAACAGAGACAATGCTCAGGACACCGTGTTTTTTATGGACATTGGAGGGGGTATTTGTATAGATACAGTCTGAGTAATGTTTGTAAGGACTGGACATGGTGTTCAAACCAGGGGCTATGCGGAGGGGTGGGGGGTGTACTCTGTCGCCTCATGTCAACCAAAATAATATCTTTAACACATCGTTGATTTCAGATCGTGAGCTTGATGTGTCTTTTCTTTGGTATATCCCCCCCCAAAAAAAAAATAAATAAATAAAATGAAAATGTGGGGGTCGATGCGATGGTCAGGGTGTGTTCTGTCAGACTGCTGATGGGGCAGTATGACCTGTCAGTAATTCAACACCGATCAAACAGGGCCAGACCGTCCCAGCGCCCACAGTGCGGCGTGTGATCGTATATGTATGCATGCGTATAAATCTGCTGACTTCGTGTTGTGGGAATGTAGGGATGCTTTTTGTTCATCAAGCTGCTTAGAAGGAGCTATTTCGACTTTTATGAAAGCAGTAAATTTGGTTTCTTATTTACGAACTCTGCCCCATACCTTTTACTCTCCTTCCGACTCAGCCCATCTCATTTAAAGAATAAGAGACACACAGCACCTCCGGCTCCGCTGAGGTGCCGCCGTTGCCCCTTTAAATTTCCAGCCACCCCTCCCGCCCCCTCCTGCAAACTGCATTATTGAGTGTAGGTGTCATTTTCTTTAAGAATTTAGTGCACCCTCGCTTCCTACTCCTTCCTCAGATGTTTTAATAACCCCTTTGTAGAAACACCTTCTTTCTCTTGTACTGACGCCTGCCAGCCTGAAAAGGTCTGCGGCGACGTGCCGGACGGCATCTGAAAGCCCCTTAAGCTCAAACCCGCCGTTCAATCAGCATCTTTTCTGGCCCGACCATTTCTCTCTAGACAGAAATGATACACAGCTGCCGTGAATGCTTCTGGCAGCCCTGCTGGCATGTGTGGCGAGACCTTTGTGTGTGTGTGTGTGTTCGCGCACCTTGTGTTTTTACATATTTTTTTGTTGTTGCAGTTCTCTAACGTCATTGATGTTCTTTTTTATGAAGCTCAGTTTGTTGTAGCCTGTAATATAAATACGAGTCTGAATATTTTAATTCTAAGCGGCATTTTAAAACAAAGCAATATAATGTGTTGTGTTGCATTAACCTGTATTTGTGATGCACAGAAGGATGCTTGCGATGTGCCTGACACTATGAGACTGGGCAGAACAGAACACTGTGTACAATTAATTATATGGAAGCGATGCACATTTGCATAATCCGTCTTGCAGTTGCAGTAATTTTTACTAATTTTCGTCACACCTTAAAAATATAGTGTCGTGACTGCAACGCATCGGAATTCTCAATTTTAGTATGAACAAAGGAAATCCTGAAAGCCATGCAAATTACTTCGCAAAAATTCTCCCCCAAATGCACCGAGCGCGTTGCCCTTTTAATTTGTGTCCCCGCCCCCTCGGCCGTCAGCTCCTTCTGGTTTAATGTATCAATTCGGTGACGAGTCACGTGACATCACGGGGGGGTAAATGCGAGCTGTATTCAGACTGGCAGAGCAGTGCCTGCATTCCTCTCCTCATCAAAGCTTGCTTTAAAGAAAAGAAAAAAAAATCATAAATAATAACACATACGGACTGGACTAAACCAAAAAAGACCAGTGGATTTACAGCTGTTCAGTTCCGGGGGAAATATCCGTGCTGAAGGATTGGTGAAGCTGTTTTTTTTTTTTGCGAAACATTTTTTTTTTACTTTGTATAAACAGACAACGGAGGAAAGAAGGTAGAAAATAAACATAAACGTCGTTTTTTCCCTTTTAAAGAGGAAAACAAGATGGCTGATGACAGCAACCGATAACAAGGGCAAAACGGCGCCGTCCCCTTTAAGACCAAAAAGGGTATAAAATATTTTTATACAAGTTAATCTTCAGAATTGGATACATTACATTTGGTGGCAAATGATTGCGGAATAAAGGCATATAAGTCTATATATGGACACGTATATGTCTGAATTTGTACTGAAACAGTAAATCACTTTCGTGTAGGGAATTATTTCGCGTTGTTAAATGGAGACAGATAGCTAATCGTGGTAACTAGCTAGACTGGCGAGGTAAGAGCGAATAGTCGGAGTAGATTTCCGAAAGAGACCGTGAAAACAACATCGATAACTTACCCTATACCACATTATTCAGTCACTTTGTGTGTGTGTGTGTATAGATTACCTAATGAACTAGCTTCACAAAAATACGTCGTTTTTTATGATTGACTTCCTTGATGCAGGGGAATCGAAAGCGTATATAAATTAATATATAATGCAGTATGTAAAATACTATGTACTTTCGATGAATATATAGCAAATGTTTATTTTCAAGTAAAGGTTTTTTTGTATTATATAAAAGTATATATTTAGCTAATTAACGAGGGGAGAAGCGGAACGGCAGAGGCCTTGTGTATAGATCGATTTTTTTATTCAGCGTCACACATTCAGAAGCTGTACTGTATGTAATTATTTCTGGGGGAAAATAGCCCGATTGATGCTGCTACGTGATACAGGATATTAATAAGGGCTAGGCGTACTTTGGAGAGGTCGTCCGTCTGCGATTAACCGAAAGCCGAGAGGAGAAGGAGGCGGAGGATCTGCTTTTTGTTTTGCGCGATAGATGAAAGCTGTCACCGGCTTAATCAGATTTACTGCGGATACAGTCGGAGCGGCCTGCCTATTATGGTATATGGGACGATAATAAAAGACTGACTATGCAGTCCTGCTACACGGTACCGGTCCGCTTCGCCCTGTCGTTAGAAATATAAGTAAGACGTCGGATCGCTGATGCGCACTTACGCACCGGCCCGGGGAAATTTCCGAGTTTACTGTGTAACGGGAATCCACAAAGTATCGCTCCTTTTTTTCCTCCCATCTGCGCCAGACGTAAATCCAGTCTGGAAATTTCAGAATCGTTATTGTTTGTTGTGCGATCTGATCTCCCGATAAAGATCTGAAATTTATTGCTCATGTTACCGGATCGGATCGGTGTGTGTGACGTTCTAAGCCGCTCTCGCAACATTGTAACCCGTTTGGATGTAACATCCTTCTGAATAATTGTAAACGATTGCACATTTGTTGCCCGATCACTCTCTTTTTTTCGTTTATTGTGCCTTGGCAGCACAAATGTAGCTCGGATTAATCGGGACGCCGGCACTTAAGTTGCATTTCGTGGCAGTTTTGGCTTCGCTCGGGGGATACGTTATTATCCCCGCCTGGTATTTGATCTGGGAGAAGCAGCAACGCCTCGTCACTGTACGTTGCTGAAAGTGTCTCCATAAAAGCACATAAATTAATATCAATGAGAGAGTGCTGAAGCTTCTCCATTTTGACTCCTCCTCTCCGGAATTAGACTCCTTTTAATCCCAGAGCTAAAACCTATAGATATTTCTTCTTAAATGGACTACAGATAACTTTGCTGGGTACCGATTGTTTCGTGTTCAGTTTTTACAAGGTAGCTAATTCCGCTGGACTGTCTCTCTGCTTTGAAACACGGATTGTTTCATTGACACGAACCTGGAAAGGCTTGCGGTACACCGAGGAGTCTATTTTATAAATACAATTTAATCGTCTTCTTCCTGATACAGAACACTGAAAGTGGGGTAATTAATGCAAAAACCAGCCGGAAGTTTCACTAAAGAGCTGCGATGGCTGAAAACTGGAAAAACTGCTTCGAAGAGGAGCTGATTTGCCCGATCTGTTTGCACGTTTTCTCGGAGCCCATTCAGCTGCCATGCAAGCACAACTTCTGCCGCGGATGCATCAGCGAGGCCTGGGCCAAAGACACGAGCATGGTGCGCTGTCCTGAGTGCAACCACGCCTACAACCAGAAGCCCAGCCTAGAGAAGAACCACAAACTGTCCAATATAGTGGAGAAGTTTAACGCGCTAAATGTGGAGAAAAGCCCCGCAGTGCTGCAGTGCATCCTGTGCCGACGAGGGCCGCCGCTGCCCGCGCAGAAGGTGTGCCTGCGCTGCAACGCCCCCTGCTGCCAGTCCCACGTTCAGACGCACCTCCAGCAGCCCTCGTCCAACCCGGGCCACCTGCTGGTAGAGGCCGACGATGTGAAGGCTTGGAGCTGCCCGCAGCACGACGAGTACCGGCTGTACCACTGCGAGGCGGAGCAAGTGGCCGTCTGCCAGTACTGCTGCATCTCCCGGTGCGCTGCCAGCCACGGGCAAGCCGTCAGCGACGTGGAGGTCCGCCGCAACGAGATCAGGGTGAGTGGGACTGTAAGTTTACAGTAAGTGCTTCATCCAGTGCTGAGGATCTGCTGTTCATCCCCGTTTGTGCTGTCACATCAGCACTAATGAGACGTTGGACGTTTGGGAAGGTTTGTCGCTTAAGTCTTTTTGAGCAATCTGTGGTGTCCTTCTGATTCGGTTGGGGCTCGCTGTTGAACCTTTAAGGGTGCTGATCCATCCGGGAGTAAATTAGCTTTATGGGTGACAGGATGAAAGAACGTCAGATTGCCAAAACTCTGTATTTACCCCGACATAAAGGGCCGTCCTGATCACAGTAATACACTTCAAATCACTCTAGTCAGCAAAACAGATTTTACTCTTCAGAATTTGTTTGTGTCCAGTTGGGTGTGAGTTCAGGTCCCAATACCACTGTTATACCAAGATAAACCTTTTTTTTTTTGCATGCGTTACTAACTTTGAGTCAGGTCAGTGACTCCAGAAAAAAGTGTGTTGTTAAGCAAAAGTGCTATGTAGGCTAATCTGTTTGTCCTTAAATAAGCATTTCACATCATTTTCTCAGTTCCTGAGTCAAGCTTCAGGCCTAAGAAAGACTAGCAGGTCTTATTTTCTAATTTTCACGGGATTGGTCTGCGGTGGGGGGCAGGGAGGTTTATGCTGTACGTTCCCCTGGAGTGTATGAATTTTCAATTGAGATCCATCATGCCCCCCAGCCCCCTTTCCGTCACAGTGATACACAAACGAGCTGAGCCAGGAACAATGTGGGTCTCTCCCCAAGGCTTATCTCGCCGAGCACAGGAGCCGGAGCTGCGCAAATCGAACGTGGGGCCGTTCGTTCTGTCACATGCTTTGGGGGGGGGGGGGGCTTTCCTTTTGTCTCCAACTGTAGCCCCTCGTCCCCCCATTTCTCGTGGGGGTCGTCGCGTTCCTAAACACGCACCCCGCTGACAGAGAGGCCTCACGGCTTCCAGGGTGCCGGCCGCGTGGCTTTTTAAATTATTTATTTTTAATTTATTTTTCTGGGCTTCATGTTTCACAGCCCAGGAGCTGCTGGGACTGCCCGCCCACCCGCCCGTCTGCGCCGCTCCTAATTGGGTCAATTAATCATGAGACCGGAACGCCAGCGGGGGGGGGGGGCAGCACTGTGGGAGCGGAAGGGCTGTCCACGTGTGGAGGGACCACAGGCCCGGCCGGTGCCGACCTCTGAGTGGCCCGATGGGTTGTCAATCAAATGGCATGCTCAGCTAATTTGCATGCCGTAATTTTCGAGAATGTTCCAGCTGTGGGGGCAGTAAAATAAGGACAAAGGTGGAGAATCCAAGTTTGCTGGCGGGGGTCGGGGCGTGGGGCGGTAGACTGAGTGTGCTGTGAGTGTGCAGGAGCAGCTGTGTCAGGTTTAAACACCCCCCTACTCCAGCCGTCGGGTTGGCGACATCCTGTTCATTCAGGCAGGAAGTGATGTCAGAGGAAGTGAGTTGGCATCAAAGCCCCTTTATTATTGTTGTTGTCATGGTGAGCAGTGCTGCTGCTGGCCTGTGCCATGGGACCTCCAGACAGCCATTATTAAGTCTCCCTCCATCGGGCGAGTAACAATGAAGAATAAGTTAGCACTGGGTTTTATTGAGGCGTGCAGGGGGTGGGGGGGGGGTGACGTGCTTCAACAGATGACCGAGGTAGCAGAAACATGGTAGTAATTGTGAGGTGACGTTTCACCTCCAGCCATGGTGCCCAACCTCCCCCCCCCCCATCCTGTCCTTTCTATCATGGCAGATGGTCACAGCGAAAGATGCCCTGAACACTTTTGTTGTCCCACATCAGCACTGTGGGGGGCTTGGGGGCGGGACTTCGCACACCCATGTGACTCATCTCCCGTGGCGACGGTGCCTCTGCGCCTGTTCGGGAGAGTCGCTGTTGCCGTGGCGCCGGTCCCACGCTGCCCCACGTGCTCCGGCTCTCACACGCTTCTTTTCGCTCGTTTTTATCCTCAGCTCTCCTTAGCCACACGTTTGTTGCCTGTTTTTTTCCGTCTGCACCGCGCAGACGTGGTTTTAAGTCGTATCCCAGCTCGCTGTTTGTGGAGGTCGTCCTCCTGGGAGCCGGTGGGGAGGGGCGGTGGGGGTGAGCTGGCGGCGGGGGGGGGGGGGTGTGGGTGTGGCCAGTGTCAGCACTGCGGCCGCGTGTAGGAATGTGTTCCGGGGCTCAGTGGCTCGGTGCGGCGGGTGCAGCTGCTGCCATGGGCGGCTGTCCCTGGCGCTCCGTTCCGCCACTGCCCGGCATGACCCCCCCCGCCCCCCCCACACCCAACCCTACAGCTGTGAAAGCTGACAGAAAGCAGGCCAGCTGGTACAGGCTGCTTCATGGTTTCCTGCTGGCTGCTGGTATCTATCTGCCTCTCTCTCTGTCTCTCTCTTCCAATCTCTCTTTCTCTCCCTCCCCCTCTCTCTCTCTTTCTCTCGCTCACTCTATACCCTTGGGTGACAGTGCATGTGAAACATACCCCTGCAATGGAGACCCCCTCCCCCCTTTTTCAGTGGGGCTACCACTGGGCCAGTTGCAGAGTCTGTGTGGTGGCCGCTTACCACCCTGTCTGTATTTTTTTTTTGGGGGGGGGGTGCTTTGCTGGAGTGACTGAGAGGATCTGCCCACATTCTCTGACGGCTTATATTTACATGCTTGCGAGAGATTTAGGGCTAATTGTACCGTGGCTGTTTATCTGTGTGTGTGTGTGTGTGTGTGTGTGTGCGTGTGTGTGTGTGCGTGTGTCTGTCTGGGTCCCCATAGACCACATCCTGTCCCGGGATCAGCCCCCAATCAGACCCCCCTCATCCCCTCCCCACCCCAGTCCAGGGGCATATTTTGTTCTTCCTGAACTGCTGAAGCAGCGTGGAATCTATGAGGAGCCGGCCACTCCAACTTCACCCCCCACGTCCCCGTCCCCCCCCCCACCCTGCATTCCCCTCCGCTCTGGGGCCTTTTTCGGCAAACGCACCCTCGGCATGTTTGGTTCGTGCTGGTAACCTTGGCGACCGTGGGACGTCCAGAGCAACTCTCCTCCAGCGTCTGTCAAAACACACTCCTACGCTCCTCTGCCGTCCTGACCTCGGGTTCCGCTGCCGTCCTGACCTCGGGTTCCGCTGCCGTCCTGACCTCAGGTTCCACTGCCGTCCTGACCTTGGGCGGACTCTTCTGGAGGCTCGCTCACTCTGTCCTGGGTTGCAAATCACCAGCGAGGGCTGCCATGGCGACACGGCATAGCGTGGGGGGGGGTCTCATGTTTCCTGTGTCTCTGGTGACTTGGACGCACATTTCCCCGGGATTCTCAGGCTCGTTTTCTAGCTAAATTCTACCCGAAGGTCTCGCCGTCATATCGACGCCGGCTCTTTGCTCTCCTCCTGATCAGCTTCTTGTATGTTTCTCCTCTCTGTTGCCTCCTTAATAGCTGATGAGGTCCCCCCCCCCCTGCTCTGCCCGACGTGGACACGGAGTGAACTCATCTACAGTAGAACCCTGTTGTTGTTGTTGCTGTTGTTGTTTTAAAAAATATCATGTTCCTCCGTTGGCACGTATTTGAAAAGCTTCCTACGGTCTTACAGCTGAATATTTAACAGGAGGTTAAGAATTCTGGAGGATTTGAGCAGATCCCAAGGCAGACACACACAGCGCTGCCTGATGGGCGGTTATGAAAGCAAACCGCTGGCTGTTGCTGCTCCAAACACGGTGCTGTGGCCCGGGGGCCCGGCTAATGGACCGCATGGCCCGGCCACGTGTGGGGGGAGATGCATCGACCGTCTCTGTCTCCGGGCCATGCATCAATAAGGCCCCCCCACACCACCCCCCAAGCACCTTCATGGGAGTGACAGAACCGTTCAGACTGGGCAGGATTGTTTACTTCATGGCTAATGGATCCTTCCCTGTGTTAAGCATGTCTGTGTGTCTGTGTGTCTGTGTTTATCTATGGGTGTGTTTGTCTATCATTGTGTTTGTGTGTCTCTGTAATCATGCGTCTATCCCTCCATTGTGTGTATTTTTCTTGTGTGTGTGTGTGTGTGTGTGTGTGTGTGTGTGTGTGTGTGTGTCTGTCTGTGCGTTTGTCCTGTTTTGGGTGACTGGTCCTGATAAACATCCAGTGAAGCCACAGCAGTGCGTTTAGATAACAGCCTGATTATACACGAGTCTGCCTGTTCTGCTCTGCACTGAATTGGGAAATGCTTTTGTTTTTAATCATTTAATATTAATAATTCTTTCATTATTTTGTGAGTGCTGCAAAGCTTCTAACCAGGGGTGCTGGGCGCCTATTGTTTTTGGTCTGATTATTATTATTGTTATTATTAATTTTCTTTTTAGTTTGTCAGCCTAGAGCTGCCTGCTTCAGCTCCCTCCTCTGCGTGTCGGTCCACACCTGCCATGCTGCCTCAGAGTCATGCAGGCAGACTCTGACTCGCGTCTCGCCGGCACTCGGTCTGTGCCTCCCTGACTCTGCCCCTTGCCCCGCCCCCACGGGGTCCCATTGGCCCCACCCCCACGGGCCTCATTGGCTCCACCCCCCCAGCCACAGACCGGTCGCCCAGGGCCCCAGGAATGTGGCTTCCCTCATGGCCCACAAAATGCCGTCGCCTCACAGCCGAACCTTCACGCATCCGGGGTGGGGGGGGGGGCAGTAGACAATCTGTCACTGACACTAAAGCGGGAACAAACAAAAGGGAAGACACACTGGAGAAGGGGGGGGGACGACGACAGGGAATGGGAATTCAGCGGATTCCTCTCTCTCTCTTTCCCTCCCTCCTGGGCCAATCAAAGATGGCTGTATGTGTCAGCTGGGGGGATATGCTTGTGGCGGGGGCTTTGCTTGCCCTTCAGCTCCTACTCGATTCCACCCCCTCCCTGAGAGGGGGCTCATTTCCCGGATCATAGACTGACAGGTGGAAGAAAAAAAAAAAATCAATTTTTCTTTTGTTGTGGTACAGATGCATTTAATTTTCTTTTTCTTTAACTGTTGTCCTTAGTGCTGAGTAAAGATGAGTTAATTAAACTCAAACTTTGTGTGTCTTTCACTGTTCTTCACGTGAGGCTCTTTGTTGCCATAGCAGGGAATCACTCAGCACGCACACACAGAGTCTGCTTTTCACACGTGACTTTTATGCGAGAGTAAATCGAGTTCCCTGGTTACTCGTTAGATTTTGAGCAATAATTATGTCTCGTGTTACCCTTTTTGTCTCCGGAGTTGGGGCTGAATGGAGAGGATTCAAACCGGTCTGAGGATAGTCGGACTTCAACGTAGCAGCGATGTGTGTGACATCCGGGGCCTCGCGTGTCGGCAAGCTCGCGGGCCGGGCCCAGTTCCTCCCGCTGCAAATCACCCTTTTCCTTCCTTCAATTCCTTTTATTTTTAATTTAACAATTTTACCTTTTTTGGTCATAGAGATTAAATGAGGTGGGTACTTGGCTATATTGGTGAGATGTTTCTGGCATCTTTAATTAGTCATGTGTTCCCCCCGGTGAGAGCGTCTGGGCGGACCTCCTCGTCCGCTTACTCTTCTGGCTTCTCCCCGCCAGCCAGGTCACCCCCAGCCGCTTAGTCACACTCCTCCTTCGTGTCGGGTCATGTGACCTGCCGCCGGACGGGGACAGAAAATGCCCTAACGAGGCGTGTACGACTTTCGTTAGGGAAAGCATGTTTTTTCTTTTCTTTTTTCGGGTGGGTGAGGCAGAACTGGGCTAACCCGCCCACATTTTGCATTTAAGTTGTTAATATAAATACTGCAGTTATTTTAAGAGATGCTTCCCGTTAGGATTCGTCATGCTCCAGGCTTGATCTCTGTAACTCGAACAGCTCGCACTTCTCCAGCGGAATTAGCCTCTCTGCTCAGTGTTCTGTGAGCAGTATAAGTCTGTGTCCCACCCATGCCTTTTGTTGGAGGGTGCTCTGCTTTAGCACTGCTGTACCGGTATAAATACCCATGAATACCGGTATAAATACCCAGGATGAGTCTGTTCGTTTTGTCCGGTGTAACGGTACTGAAGGATGAGTCTGTCCGTTTTGTCCGGTGTAACGGTACTGAAGGATGAGTCTGTTCGTTTTGTCCGGTGTAACGGTACTGAAGGATGAGTCTGTCCGGTGTAACGGTACTGAAGGATGAGTCTGTCCGTTTTGTCCGGTGTAACGGTACTGAAGGATGAGCCTGTCCTTCACTGAGGGGACATAAAGACCCCTGATTCCTGTGCATTATATCAATAGACTGATTCTGTGTGTCTAACTGAAACCGCAAGTTTAGCCGGAGTCCATTTTAGGTTTAGTTACAGCGATATCTTCAACCAAACAATTGCATTTTTACATGCATCCATGCATCTCAGCAAGGCCGGCATGACGTTTTGCATTCCGCCTGTTACCCAGGAAATGGAAGTCCATTTTTCTGTAGCCTGCGGAATCCAGCCGAACGTTTGCTGTTAGAATTCTGATCTGTTCAATTAAAGGTACAACAGCAGACCCATCTGGGGATTTTACTGGTGAGATCGGAGGTTGGAAACCTTCTGAATGCACTGTAGTGGCTCACAACGGCTCCCCTCTTCTCCCCCAGCAAATGCTGATGAAGCAGCAGGACAGCATTGAAGAGCGAGTGCAGGACATCGAAGAGCAGCTCTACAAGTTAGAGTCAGACAAGTGTCTGGTGGAGGTAAGACCCCCTCTTACCCGTCCTGTGCCGCCCCCTTGACCGTACCAGGACTGCTACTGCACCGTTTTCAGTGTCCTACACCTTATTCTAACTTAGAGAGGGTGTTGTGTGGCTCAGTGGGTTAGACTGCTGTGTCTGTAGTCAGAAGGTTGCCGGTTTGAATCCCATGTTTGGAAGTATGGCCACATCACAGTGGGGCTCTTGAGCCAAGGCCCTGACAAATGTGGTTTGCCCATGAAGAAATGACTGAGTTGGGATATGGGAAAAGAAGCATCACAATATACAAATGGAAAATAAGTAGAGCATTGTTAGTTGGTTGTGGGCTCGAAGCCCAGAGAGTACACATAAATTATTACTTTTTTTCTACTGAATGCCGCTTTGGATAAAAGCATCACAGGGTACCCGCGGTCATGGAAAACCTGGAATTTTGAAATAATTCTTCCAGGCCCTGGATAAGTTTTGGGAAAGTAGCCTTGTTCATTTTTGTTTCCCGTGTCGTTCTGCAACACGCTAACAGAAATGTACGAGTGGAAGTCAATAGTTAACTACCTTGGTAAACATCCGTTTCCGGCACTTTTACCGTGCAGATTTCGTGTATTTGAGATCGCCGCTTTTTTGCTCCCTATTCCAGTTTTTATTGTTTTATTTTATTATTTTTTTTGCACGTATTTGAATTTTATTGATCAGTTTCCCGTTTTTGACTCCGTTTGCCTCATAAGGTACGTATAATTTTAATATTGGGATTCATTTTCTTAACAATTGAATGCTATTTGCATATTGGCGAAAGTTTGTTTAAACTGTCTGTTTATTTGGTAAGCAGATTGGCTATTATCTTACCGAAAATTGTACTATTACTATCTGAAACTGCATGATCATCAAATCAAAGCAAACTTGTGGGTTTTGGAAAATTTTCTTATGGTACTGGAAAAGTTTTGGAAAAGTCATGGAAATTTATTCTGCCAGAATTGGGGGAACCGTGGCGTGAGATCCCTCTCAGCTGCACAGGTGCCGCTCCTGCGCATGGCACGCATTTGCCAGCTGCTGCGCATGGCACGCATCTGCCAGACGGACGTTCCCGTCTCTGGTTTCACTGCTGTGCGAGGAGGTGTGACTCAGGTGCTGTGAGTCGGGAAGGATTTCCTAGGAAATGGCTCACCCCCTGCCCCCCCTTGCTCACCGCCGTCTGCAGGACAAGGTGCAGCAGCTGCAGGAGGAGGTGAGGATGCAGTACCAGAAGATGCACCAGCTCCTGGAGGACGATCTGGGCAAGACTCTGGAGGCTCTGGACAGGGCCCAGGCCCGCTTCTGCCAGGAGAACTCGGCCCAGGCGCTGCAGCTGAATGAGAGGCGCCAGGAGGCCAAGAAGCTGCTGAGCTCCGTGCAGATGGTCTTCGACAAGGCGGAGGACATCAACTTCATGAAGGTGCCACCACTGGCCAGTCTGCCCACTGCCCACGGCCCACGGCCTCCGCCACGCGCCGGGTCCCGGCCTGCCAAGCCAGCTCTTTCCGTAAACCGTGCTGGCACAAAAGTGCTTCCCTCAACAAATCGGGGGCCAGTTCTTCAACCTTACAGTAAATCAGACTTAAAGCGGCCACCTTCCCCCCCCCACTTTTGTGGAAGCTACAGTTTGCACTGTTTGTTGCTGGTAGTTTCATCAGTAGCCAGAAGGAACCGGTTGTGGAGGGTTTCATGTACTGCTCTCTGCACGTCTATCCAGAGTGAGATACTTCCCCAGCTGCCACAAACAGGGCTGTGATTAGCTAAAGCACAGCCACCCCCCCCTCCCCCGCAAAAGCAAAAATGTTTTTCAAACTTCCTTGACAAAGTCCAGGCATGATACCCCAGGACAAATAAACATGGCAGTTTCTAACTAACATATTTTTTTTCTTGTTTTTGTGTTTTTCCACAGAACACAAAATCTGTGAAAATATTAATGGACAGGTAAGTCATTCTCTCATTAACACTCAGTCTTTATATAACCTAAAGAACTCGTTCCAGATTAGGGATTGACAACGATAAATCAGCGTAACACGAAGCGTGCGGGGCGTGACGGCGAATGGCGCCTCGTGATACGGGGGGGGGGGAGAGGGTTACAGATTTTCTGAGAAGGCTAGGGATGAGATGGGCGTGACGAGGACCGCAGGGAGGAACGGAAACAGAAGGGAGCCATTTTGGCGAGAGAGATAAGGCCTGCGGAGGAAATAAACACAAAAACAGCCAAGCGTTGCGGCTGGGATGCAAGCAAGGACTGCCTCAACAATCACTGTGGGATAACAGCCCCGCCCGACCAAACCATCTTCCAGCTGTATATCCCTGTCAGGGTCACAAGGGGTCGGGAGCTGATCTCAGGCCTCTTCACCCTGGATGGAGCTCCTGTGCGTCGCAGGGCTCACACACTCGCACACTGTGGGCGGGCTAGAGATACGGGAGCCCTGAGCATACGCCTTAGAGATGAAAGACCGGTACCTCCAGGGAAGTCGACACAACACGAGGAAAGGGTGCAAACAGCAGACTCACGGGGCAGGGCTGGGATCTGAACCCCCCATCGTGGAGGAATCTGGCATCAGCACCACCCACAGAGCCACAAAGCTGCCGTCACACTCATAAACTGCCTTATTTCACAATCTATACATTCAAGTGTTACCAGTTTGCACTGCTGCATATTTTAATGGCATGATAAAGAAGTAAAAGAACCTTATTCAGGGTCCAACCCAACCTTTGGTGTTGAGTCATTGGCCTTAAACACCACGCCCCCTGGTGGCCCCATCTGCACGTGCGCTTTGTCTGTATGGCCAGAGGTGTGACTGGGATACCGGCTCTGCGTTGCAGGACTCAGACTTGCGTCGGAAGTGCTCTACCTCCTCACAAAGTGGGCCACCTCAACTCCAAAATCTTCCTCTCTGAGATCTCCAAGAAGGAGAAGAACTTGCGCAAAATGCTTGAAGGTAAGGTGATGATGTCAGTGATGATGTCAGCAATGACGGAGGCTTGCGGCACTGAGCTGGTGCTTTGGAGACCGTCCTACCCAGTTGGCGCCGACGTGTGGCAAGTTTGAGCTGGTTTCTCCTCGTGACAGTCGTGCCCTCCTCCCTCTCTCTCTTTCACCCCTTCCCCCCCCCCCGCCTTCCCAGTTCCATTCAGCGCCCCGGCCAGTTTCCTGCAGATCATCCCGGCATACTCCTGCAACCTGAACAGTCTCGGGGCTGAGAAGCGCAAGCATGCGGCTGCCTTCCCTGATGGCTCCGCCCCCGGCTTCCTGGAGCCGCCGTCCGGCACCGCAGCCAAGCAGCCGTACCTGGGCCAGGGCTCTGCCGGCTCAGGGGAGGGCCAGTCCTCACAACCCATGGTGCCCTGCAGTTCTGCCCAGCACATGGTGGGCCTTGGGGGCGGGGCTGGTGGGGGCAGCGGCGGGGGAGGGGCCGGCGGTGGCACCGCCCCGCAGCCGGTGCATCACTCGGGCTCTGTCTTTGCGCCCTCGCACTACCCTGGCGGGGGGCAGTATGGCAGCGGGCGCAAGATCCTCATGTGTACGGTGGATAACTGCTACTGCTCCGCTGTGCCCTCGGTGTCGAGCCACCGCGGGCACACGGCCTACCCGCGCTCGGGGTCCTTCCCCTGGACGGTGAGCTCGCAGGAGTACCCGCACCCACTGCCCGCTGCGCCCTCCATGCCGCAGTCCCTGCAGGGCCTGTCCGTGCGGGAGTGGCTGGACGCCTCGCAGAGCCACCGGCACCCTGACTTCTATGGTCTCTACGGCCAGTCCTCCACCAAGCACTACGTCACCAGTTAACCCTTCCACCGCCACCGCTGGCCTGCACAGGAGGCCCACTGGAGTTCCTCTTTGAGGGTTTTTTTTTTTTAATTTGCATTCCGTGAAACATCTAAAGGGCACATGAGCACACACACACAAACATACCCACACACACACATACATATACACACACACTCACAACCCGCCCCCCCCCCACTCCGACAGCGTGTTGTACCCCCATGTGTGTGTGAGTAGTGATTCCTATTTACGTTTTTTTCTCCTTTACTAAATCTAGCCTCGTGTCTCCTCCCAGTCTGGCATTACCCATCAGCGGCTGCCGTTTTTTTAAATTAAGCCGCTTTCTTGACAGTTTAGCAGATCTTATTCCAGGATAATATTGTGTTTGTTTACAGTCTGGCTTAAGCCATTATTATTATGATAATTATTATGATTATTGTTACAGTTTATATATAAGGGTTCTCATTATCATCACCATGGTAACCTATTCAAGATGGCCACCTTCATCATGTCCTCCCGAATCCTCACTGGAAGGGTGACAGGGTAGCGGGCTTCAGCCCAGGGCTGGGGGTCGCCTACCTCAGTCAGTCCCCTATTTAAGCCACCTGGCAGAGTGGGGCTTTGATCCTCCACCCACTCCTTCAATCATTGTTTTTTTTTTTCTTTTTTTTAAAAAAGTTTAACTCTGATAAGGAAAGAAAAAACATTTTTTTCCTCATTTTTTATAAAGTTAACCTTGAAGGGACTCCCAACAAAGTGGATTGAAAACTCTTTACAGCCTCAAATTACTCACAAAGACTCAACACAAAAGACTTAGATGGTGTGTGAGCTGCTCGTGTTGAATGCAAAGAAGCTCATTCATGGACTACACAGACGGGAGGGGGAGGGAAAGCGCTTCAGCATCTGAGATGGATGCTGTTATTATACTTCCTGCAGATTGATGTCACTTCCTGCACCAAGCACATGACTTCTTGACTTCCTGTTTGTAGCTGTAAGCATGTTGGGAAAGGCACTCGAGCGATTCTTGCAGTGTGGCGAGAGTGTGTGCGCGGGAGGGAGGGGGGCTGGGTGTTGGAGTGGGTGAAGTTTTTTCATGACTTTTATATAAAAAAATGGACTGGACTGCTCAACTTGTGTAAAAAATGGTCAATATGCTTCAGAAAGAGCAATTAAAAAGTTGACTGACAAAAATGTATACAAGATCTTTTTGTAAATATTTTGTGAAACAAAAAAAAAGCATATGTGATTTGGGAAAAAAAAGTTCCAAATAAATTGTGGTTTCAAATAAATGAAAGCAAAATGTCACAGATATTTACCTTTTTATTGTGAGCAGGCCTGATTTCTGCGGGGGTGTCACCGGCGTGTGACGCAGTCCGCTGCTTCTTCCTGTCCCTTTTTCTCACCGGGCGAATGCTTTTCACCGAGTTTCGCCTCATGTTGCAGACTGTGCTGGACGGCCAGTGTGAGCGCCACCAGTAGGCCATGCGTGGGGCTCACACTGCCCGCCCTTAATTGCGTGTGTGGCTGGCAGGCTGGTTCAGGGTCAGACCACACTGCTGTGCTTGGACGTTCACCGATGAAAACAAAGCAGTTTGGGCCAGACGGAAGGACAGTCCAGGCAAAAACTGCCGAGCGCTTTAGCAGCCCTGTGCTAAATGCTACAGCTGGATTTGCGGTGTTTCTCTAAGCCTTTGTCCCCACTGACACGGCCGGCATCCAGATAGTCCTGTCAGGACAGGCCACAGCCTCGGCTGTTTATTCTGTGTGCGCCGCTCTCTGTCCCCACATCCAGACTTGCACCTTAAATCCACACAGGCCACGGTACTGACACAAATTTGCACGCACGCCACGCAGCTGGAGCAGCCGGCCGCCGGTGTTCCGGAAACATCCGGCCCGCTGCTTCGACTGGGTCCGTGCCAGCGATCAGTGGCTTTTCTCACTGGTGTCTGGGGTTCCCATCGCGGGGATGTCTCCAGGGTGCCACTAGGAATACATTTTGTAATGGAATATATGTTTTTTCTAGGATGAGAACAGACTGGTGTGCCATCATCTGCTGAGCTGTTCCCATGTAATCAGTAGGAAAGCCAGAGAAGCCCTTTGCAGTGAAGGCAGGGATGGAACATGAGAATGTCTGCTACGGCCAGCTGGCCAAGTTCAGTTAGAAATGTAGTCTGACATGCAGTTCTTTAACCAGTAGGCTAGTGTTCAGCTTGTTTGTACTCACCCATCTTCTGAATTACTCACCTCGGGCTTCATTTCCAGCCCTCGATAAGTATGGATCATGCACCGTTTCTGGCAAAACTAGCTACTGTCACAATGTTTTCTTGTAGCTCCTGACATGGATACTCTTGGTGTACCCTGGTTGTTTCATTTGGGATGGGAGCGTATTGCGTTTATTTCTTGGTGAATATTCCTTTATTCAGTGACAGCAAACGGCTGCGATGCAGGCGCTCCTCCGGCTGCCGCTTCTGGACGTCGCTGTGTTTTGGGCGTTCACACCGTTCAGGGTTTCGTTTAGCACAGGCTTGCAGGCTCCCTGTTAGGCGTCTCCGAAGGAGATCTTATTTCATTTATCTTTTATTGTTGGATTTGACTCACACTTTGCTTAATAATGTCAGTTACCGGGATGTATGTGGGCAGCGTAGAGCAGACCGGACCAGACTGCGAGGGCTCATGCTTTATTCAAGGCGGGTGTCAGGACTCCGGTGGGGCGGGGGGGGACATGTTCCGGCTCCATGCGACCGGCCGACCGGTGCAGCATTCCACGTGTTTCTTTGCGGTACTTCTGCTGTTAAGTGTGTGTGTGTGTGTGTGTGTGTGTGTGTGTATTTCTGTGGGTTTCATCCCCCTGCAGCTGAACTGAACCTCCTGAGCTGATTTCTGGCGGAGGGACGGATTGCAAAACACAGGCAGTCCAGCCTCGGCTGGCTGGAGTCCCTCCAGCTCAGTTCCTCCAGTATGGTCATATTTCATAAGGTCCTCTCTCTGGGACCGTGAAATTGTTCTTGCTGCAGCAAAAAAAAAAAAATCTCAGTTTCGAAGGAGGGGGAGATTCACCTCCAGTAAGCAGTTGCTGTGACCTGGGGGAGGGGGGGTGGAACATTTTCAGTTATATGCCTGTGTCAGTTCCTGCCCCTAAAATTAGCTCCTGCACAGCACCCCCTTTCAGACGTCAATCAAATTACAGGAGGAGCGCGGCTCCGTGTTGGGGGGGGGGCTCTGTATACAGTAATACATATAAAAGCTCATGTGTATATATACAACATATACATATAAAAAATATATAAAAATTATGCAATTTCAGTTATACGCTTAAACGTGTAAGGTGGTTTTAAACACTGTAATCCCAAATGTATCTGGTATTTCTCTGATTGATCAAAGAGAATTAATCCGCGTCCTCGCCATTATATATTTATCAAAAGATGTCTGAGGTGTGTCAGGTCGGTGAGGGTGAACACAAAGGCGCTCATTTTATTATTCTGTTTAAAAAAAGAAAAGCTTTACATTTCTGGAGCAGAATTTCCTTTTCATTGTGTGGGAGGTTGCAGGGGGGGTTGGTGCTTAGGGGGGTCTGAGATGAATGTGCAGCGTGGGGGCTGTAACGGGATTCCTGGACTGTGAGGGTTATGGGGGGGTGAGGAAGGGCATCGGAGTCCTCATCAATATTTAAAGCTTCTTTGTTTATGACTCATTTAGGCTTAATTGCAGGCAGAATTCGAAACCTTGTGTTTCTTGTATCTGTCTTGAAGGTATTGCAGCTTCCAATGCCGGGATGCGCGAGGGGGGGGGGCACGATTCCGGCTCTAGCACTCGCTCCCATTTCTCTTTTTTTGTTGTCTGTCTGCTGCTCTGGGGTAACACTGTTGCCCCCTCCCCCATGTCCTCCCCCACGTCCTCCTCCGCCTCCCTTGGCCTGATACTGAGGGCGTGTCTTCGAATGACAGCCCCGGTCCATCCCCACCCCCCCCCCTCCGTGAGTCAGCGGAGACGCTGGGAACCCTGTGACCCAGATTGCCAGCAGGTGAGGCCTGATGTAAT